TTTACCGAGGTACCTATTAAAAGTACCTGCCTCTGACAGACAGACATACAACACACACACACTTATATATATATAAATTTAACATCAGAAAATTTCTAATCAGAGTATCACAGGAAAAATGTTATTCGTACGTTTTGAGTCTACTTTTATCTACTTTACCTAGGTACCTATTAAACATACCTGTCTCTGACAGACAGACATACAACACACACACACTTATATATATATAAATTTAACATCAGAAAATTTGTAGTCGAAGTATCACGGGGACAAAATTATTCTTACGTTTTGTGTCTACTTTTATCTACTTTGCCTAGGTACCCTATTAGAAGTACCTGTCTGTCTGTCTACCTTTACCTGTTCTGTACGTCTGTTTGTCCGTCCGTGAATTCGTTCGTTCTACTCTTCGATAGACTACTCACAGTTTACGCGTTTTCCAACCCTTACCCCCATACAATTGTTTCTCCAAGTTTTCGGTAATAAAAAAACATTGTTTATAATAGTTACGAGAGGAATAACGAATAGGAAGTGAAAGAAGAATAATAAGAAGAATAAGAAGAAGTAGAGTTCAACGCGCATGTGTGTATGTGCGTTGGTTAATGTGTGTATGTGTCAATGACACTCTTCTTAAACTCGCATCATTGTATTCTTTGTTTTTTTTTTTCCTTTTTTTTTTTCTTTCAATTCACTTTTCTCAATCAATTGTCGATTATTCATTTTCTTTACGCCGTGTTTCTCTCATCGTTTATGTGTCTATCTCTGTGTGCGTATGTGTGTGTTACTTTAATAGAACCACCCCCACCCCCACCCCCAGATCTTTCCCCATTTCACATTTCATTCTATCTCTATCTCTGTTGCACTTTCTTTCCCTTTTTTTTACTCTTTTTATATGTTTCTCCTACACGCGAGCTTTTTCCCCAACAGTTGGAACAACAGGGATCGATTTGTGTGTTAGTAGTGTGTGTGTATGTGTGTGTGTGTGTGTGTCTTCTTTCTCTCTTTCGCGTGAATAGAATCGAAAGAATTCTTCATAGTTAATTTAACAATTTTTTTTTCTTTTTTCTTTTATTAACAACCCCCACCCACCCCCTTAACCGTTTCTTCTTCGCATATTTAACATCAATCGGTTTTCTATTATTTTTTTTTGTCCCCCTCACGCATTTTATTCGAACGATTATACTTTTTTGTTTCTATTTTTTGTTTTTCCCATTCGTTCGTACGTTTGTACGTGTTCACGATTAGGGTGAATCGAAAAAAGTTCGGTGCGTGTTTATTCTATTGCAAATTGTTTTAACAAATTGTATGATTTTTTGTTTGACACACAAAATTTGTCTTCACCTTCATCCCTTTTTGTTTGTATTCTTATATCGATACAATTGAAAATGATTAATAATAAAGAACAATGCTTCAAATAATTTTATTAGATTTGTTTCGTTACTTTGTGCGTATATATTTTAAATTGTTTCTAAATTTTGTTGTGTAAATTACAAATAAAATGTTTAAAAAAAGTATTTTGGATAAATTGCGAGAGAACAAAAATGAAATTAAAATTCGGAATTATTGATAGAAAAATAAAACAAACGAATTTATTTATTCATCCTAATTTTAACAAGAACGTGACATTGAAAACGTACGAACATTCTTATTAATAAAAATAAAAAAAATTGGTTAAAAATAGAAAAAGGGGTGGAAAAGATTAAAGGGGTGGTGGTGGTTGTGAGAAGAGTGATAGTTTTGTATTTTTATTTTGAATATAAATTTTCAATCATTTATTTTAGGGTTAATACAAGTTAAAGATAGTAATGGGTTATCTTATTTCGAAAGGGTTTAGGGATAAGGGCAAAGGGTCAACACAGAGATGCAAGTTGATCTTTTAACTAGCGTTAAGAAAGTTCCAGTCAATTTATATACAAGGGTAGGAATCAACAGTTACATATGTGCATCTCTAAACTACTATTTGTATCTGTATATATATATATGTGTGTGTGAATGTGTGTGGGTGTGTGTATATTTCAAACGTTGATTCTTTTATTTCCGTTCGTCTAGCAAATTCGAATTTGTATTTCTCTTTTTGATGTTTGTTCATTGTTATTCCTACCCTTTTTTATTTCTTCTTTTTTCTGTTTTATATATATATAGATATGTATGTATGTGTGTATATATGTAGATCGATTTTTGTAACACTCCGACGGTATAAACGAAAATTAATATTCTCTCTGCAATGGAATATAACGAATATTCAGGTTACTTTTTCTTTCCTTTCTACCCTTATTTTTCCTATTAATTTGTCCTTGTTTATTTTTTTTTGTTTATTAAAAATTACAATTAACCGAAGAGAAATAATATTAATAGTGCATTACTTTTCGTTCTACATGATTTTTCAATTTTTATG